AGAAAAAATGGGAAAAAAAAAAATCTGCTTCCAACTACACTCAAGACAAAGCTTTGCTGCATTTGTATACAACAATCCCAGACAGATGGTGTATGTGGATTCAGGTAGTTTTTGAGCCAGCACTTGACAAGTTAATTTGTCCCATGCCCTCCTGCCGCTGTTTCTGTTCCCGTTTCTCCTCCTTAAACCACACATATGTGTCTTCAGATTCTGGACACTGCCTCAGCTCTGGCCTTAGCGTTGCCATTGTGCACCTGGCAATTATTGGGTGTCCAAATTTAAAAGTGCCTTTGTCACAGTGCTCCGGTTCTCGAGCAGCAACACCTTCCCAGACGTAGGTGGCAGTGTTCAGCTGCTGGGTAGCGCTCGCTGCAGGGACAGCCTCTCCCCGCATCATCTCCATGGGAGAAAGCGAGCAACCCCATGGGGTTTTGCCTTCTGAGCACCCTTGCTATTTAACTGTCCTGTAAGTCACATTACTTCAGACATTTCCTGCATCTGAAAATATTTTCCCAAGCCATAATCAGAATACGTCCTGTTTACATTACTATTTTAACTTGGACAACATTAAATTGACAATTGTTACAAGTGTACTTTGGTCTCTTTTGAGCTGTCCTCACACTTAGGGATTTTCTTGCCTCCCAGTATTTTATGACTAACTCGGGAAAAGTAAACAATCAGTTTCCAGTTAGCCTGATACATGTTACTGGGCTTGGCTTAAGTAAGAAAGGCTAATTAGATCCTGCTATGATTTACACCACATGTACCGTAGTCCCAACCATCAACAAGATTCTGCCCAACATAAACATTTATATCTCTGACTCTTTAAAGAAGGAATTTTAAAAATCATAACTATGCTGAGGGGGGGCGGGAAACAAACACACAAAACATGCTGATACACAGATTCATCTACATTCACACTGCCATGGACAATTTTACAGGAACTGTAACTTGGGATCAGAGTTCCAATGGATGTACAGTAGACTGGCTTCTAAATAAACTTCTGAGTGGGTTTTTCCTACACCTAATTTCAACTCTACGTCACACAGAGCCATAGGAGGTAGCAGTTAAATGCTGTGTCTGAGTATCAGATACCCCTTCCAGTTTATTTGTTAAATAGCTGTTAATTTGTTAAAACAAATTTTCGGAAATACTCATAGCCACGACAGGGAGAGTTGCAGTATTGAAGGTTGCAACCAAACACAACTTTTGAAAATTTATTTTAAAGTGAACAGTATACCTGATAGTATATAGAATAGCGATTTCTTTAATCAATGCTCCTAAAACAATAGTGTATTTCTTTAGACTGGGGTAAAACCAACCAGAGCACGCTGGTTTTGCCTTCTCCAGCCTGGATTGCCTGCGGTAAGATTGCTACAGCAACAATCTTTTTCCTCAAGCCAATCCTGAAGCAGGAACACTTCTTTTTTTTCTTCCCCTCCTCCTCCAGCTGCTAAGCAAAGAATAAACTTTTAGCTTAGCCCCTCCTTTATTGGAAGGGGAATAGGGTAATATGCTGTAATTGGTTTTCCATGTTTGCCAAGAGTCTGTTTCCTCTTATCATCCACAATATTTAACATAAATCTTGTAATAGTTCCAAAAATAATAAAATCTGTCCCAAGAATAAAAATGATAGATCCACAACATGCTGCTTTTTTGTCATGGTCTTGGTTTCGTAACATTCTGTTAGTAGTTTTTATTGCCTAATGTTGTGGTTTCTTTCATAGGCAGCAGACCCAGTAAAGACATTTCATCAGCTACTTACACAGCAGCAGCCTGGATTATTTACAAATGGAGATTTCAGTACCATATTAAAATAAATCACCACTGCATACTGTTAAAGTTACACTGCAGTAATACGGCAGAAGAAAACCCAGAGATTCTAGGGGGAAGGACATTAAGTACAGACAAATCGTAAGTACGATACCAGCAAAGTTAAGATACCTAAATAAAACCCAATAGTCTTCCACCTTCTCCCCTATCTCCTCCCATGCAATAGTGGGAGAGGAATAAGCAAATTATATCCCCCACACATGCAAACCAGTACACACAGCATGCGTAACAAGTAACAGAATGCATGCAGTACCTCCCTCCCGATTTTATATGATGCAGCAAGATAGCCGATCCCACTTCCCCCTGCCCACCCCTTCCATCCCCAAAGCAAATGCCCCATACAGGGCAAGTTCCCGTAAGTGTAGGTGTAATACACATGGAGCGGTGAAGAGGGAGAGCAGCAGTTTGCTCACAGTTTGCATGAAAGAATACCAGAACAGACAAGACAAAAAAGAGATAATATACAAGAGAAACTTGATTTAGGAGGGGGAAAAAAATCCAACCAAACAACTTAGAAGAAAGCTGTAGGACAATCCGTAGTGTCAAAAGAATAGTCCATCAAGAGGAATTGCTCAGTGTTTACAAAACCGCTACCCCACTGGTAATAGCTTTGAGAAAAACGCAGGCATGTTGGGGTGCCCTCATTTAGAATGATTACTTTTAAAAAAAAAAAAATATCCTTTAATGCAGAAAATTGTCTTCTGGTATTTCTAAGTTTATTTGAATACACTTTTTTTTTTTTTTCCACTCAGATTCAGCTTTAACTGTAACTTAGAGCCTGATAAGAGCTTTGCTTTTCTTCCCAAGACCAGATTTAGTGCTCAAACACTCCCAGGTAAACTCTTAAGGCAGAAAAAAAGCTTTCCCAACTTAAATGTATGCCTCGTCACCTAAAACTAATCTGTGCCCTACTAGCCCCACCAATACAGAAATATAGTGGTTGAAGGCTCTTTAACTAGTCAACACCACAATGAACTTCCCATTACAGAAAGCGTTACACAGCAAAAAGGAAACATCTCTGGAGCAGGGAACAGAGCCCTCGCTGCCTGCCAGGGGCTTCAGACAACCTCTCCTTGTTTCAGCTTATCAATAAGTGTTTTGGCAGTCATTTACCTTAAGTCACTGCTGAGTCTGATCTTGCACAAGAATATATCAGAATGATTGAAGTCAACAGAAACACACAGGTATAAGAGTGAGGGGGAGTGTTAATCTTTCTTAAATGACTGCCAAAATTCCTGGAGCTTCTCATTTTAAATAGAAATAAGAGAGACAAGTCTTAAAATCGTGCTTGGAGGATTTGTCACTCCAAATATACTCTTTTGTAAGTTAACTATGCTTTTTACCATATGCTAATGTGGAAGTACAGGGAAACTGCACAGCGGTATGATTTTTCAGTATCAATAGTAGTCTTACATTACATATAACAGCTGTGCAAGTTGCTGGAGAGCAATTAAATATTTTAATTCTTTGGTTATGAAAATGTAGCCAATAAAACCAACTGGAATTCAACGTGGAAGCTCAGCAAGTTCTCAGTTGCTCATGTACATGTAAAACTGAAGCCTGTGAAAGAATAACCTTGTAAAGCACGTGCTCTAGAAGTAAACCGTGCTGCTAGGTTCTGTGCTAAAAATTTTCAAATTCTGATAGGATAAAATAGGATCAGGGGCTTCTCAAAAACCAACAAAAATACACAGATTTCTAACTGGCAACAAAAGGATTACATATGCACAAAGCTTGTGACAAAAAGTCAGGCAGAATGCAAGGAAACTTCAGTTTTGCTCTAGCTCCTCTCCAAAAGTACCAGATTCTTAACATAATACACAGCATAAGACTGGCATGTAAGCCAGCACCAACCAGCAGAATTAAAAACAAAAAAAACCCAACCAAAAAACAAACCAAACAATCAAAAAACCCCACCCCACCCCCCCAAAAAAAAAAAAATCAACCTGGTATGTACACATGATTATAGTAAGCCACAGCACATTCCCCCTGCACCTCACCCCCCAAAAAAAGCACCAGTGGCTCTTTGCTGTAGCAGCCCTAGATTCCTGGTCAACTCTACACCTCTTCCATGCTTCCAGAAAATGAGCGGCTGTCAGAAACTTTAGCTGTGTAAATCATCACCACTTAAAAGAGCGTGCATTTGTGTGCTTCTCAGGATAGGGTACAAATTCCCCCTTCTGCTCCCTTTAACAGGGGCAATTTTTATGGATAAGAGAAATTTACTCCCATTCGTAGGGTAGCTGAGGCTGCTACAGAAGATGCCTTCTTTCTTCCATCTCATCTCAAGCAACTGAGTTCTGCAACATTGCCAGTTTCAAAAAATCCTCAACCAGTTAATTCAAGCAAGTACTCCTGTTCATTCATTCCTTCCTGTGACCATCTAGTTTCTATAAGCCATTCTTCCCTCAGCATCAATACTATTCAGTCCTATGGTTTTACTGTCATGCAACACAATTTCCAAACTTCAACTGAAGTAGTAAGTGTTTGTGTTTTATAAATTTAAACATAAAAACTAGTTAACAGTTGAAAGTATGTAAATGGAGTAGCCTCTCATGAATTCAAACTGTTGAAAATTATTAGATTACATTGCTTATAATGCTTCTGAATGTATAAGGCAGATTTGAAGTTGGCAACTAACATAAATCCTTGAGTTGTCCCTTCCCCCAGACACACAAAAAAAAGGTTCCACAGATTTTTTTAAACTTTATTTAATCTCAGAACCACTGCTGTGTTACACCTGTCAGGCTGAAGTGTATTCACTTCTGATGTTAAAGTTCTGACAATAAGAGTGGATGACATGAGGATCCATGTCCCCCAGTGCTGTGTTGCAGTCAGTATTGGTCCAGTAAGACAAAAGTTTTGCAGCCATTCTCCTTGTGTGTCCCCCTTCCCTTTTTTTTAATTTTTTTTTTATTTTTTAAGGTACATGAAGCACAGCCTAGCATTAGAGTCACCCTTTTATCTGCAATTTATATAAATAGGATGAAGTGGAAATTCAGTTGTTTCCTTATTTGTAGGAAAAGTGACATTAATATTCTGTACTTGAACAAATAACCACTTAAACACAGGATTTTGTTTTGCACTGTTGCAACCCTTTCACTTGAGGCAAAACATCCGCCCGCCCCCCGCAACCACCACTGTAATAAGTACCAAAGCATTTCTAGTTTTGATTTTCATCAAGATTTCCAAACTGGCAGATTTTATTTTCACACCCTCTTCACAATAGACAAGATGCTTACCATATATTTAGGATTACAAGTTGTCACTAAAAGAAAACTTTACACAACCACTGTACATTTAGGTTGAAAAAACTGTCCTTGCATGAAAAATATACCTAGAAATCAAGTGGTAAACAAGAAAATAACATTAAGAAAAGAGTAACGTTTTTATAATGTGCCATTTTAAATTTATCAACTCCTCCTCTACTTTTCATTCATACTCTGTTTTTACCTACAGTATTCGTTAAGGCAAACAGCTAATCCATTTCTGAAGAGGTGCTGTGGAAATTGTGGACAAACAGCAAACATTTGGCATTAAAATAGATAGCACGTATGTAGCCTCTAGTAATATACATTAAGCATTTCTCTTGGACTTCAGGATAATGACAGGGGAGGATGAACATGCTAACAATGTCAAAAAGGCTTAAAATTTAGCGTCCAAGCAATTTCTATTAATGCTTCTGTAGTTTTCAAGCTCTAAGTAGTATAGAATTTATGCAAATGCATTAAAGAATTCTAGCTTGGCAAGTACACCCAAGCAGGTTATTAAACTATATATACAGAAAGTGATAAATACAGAATTAAAAGAGTCCTTCCGCTTCTCTTTATAGCCTTGAAAATTGACAAAAAACTTGAGGACAGCTCTACAATATTAAACATTAGGTAACCGCAGGAGCTGGGAAACCTAACTACACAAACTGATTAAAATACTCAGATGACTTTGTAGTGTTTAATACAATTCAGTTCGTAGTCAAGGGCACAAGACAACATTTAACAAAAATAATCACATCAATTGACCTAGAAATCAAATGTAAATAGATATGAATACAATCTCCAAAATCTGTCTTTAAGTGAACATTAACCATTTATTCAAAGTTATACAAGAATTTGAAGGATAAAGTCTTCTTCTGCAACAGGAAACCAACTTACAAGTTTCATGTCTCAGTTGAATCGAAGTGGAGGCGAGCGGGGCGGGGGGAGGGAAGGGTGAACAAACAAGTTAGTAGGCCCCATCCAGGCAGCTAGAAAGTAAAAACGGGCTCAACAGCAGCCGCCTCCAGCTTGTTGTCCTCCCTGATTGCCTGCAAGTGTTGCGTTAGTAGCAGCATGTTGAGGGCCAATTTTTATGCCATTTGCCTGAAATGAAGTTTAATACACAGTGTAATTATTTTACAACACAAATAGACTTGAAAAGCTTTTTTGTTTGGTGGGTTTTTTTTTTAGAAAATAGTATAGCAAGATCTAATGTATGCAATAAATACAGCAAAGTTCATATATTTTTTTTAGTAATACGTCCTTGGCGATTAAATATAATTTAAAGGATGCTTTCCTTCTCATTAAACTTTTATCTCTATGTTAAACTCTGTACTGTAAACTCCTAACGCAAAAACACAGAGCAAGAATTGTATTTGAACACTACTCGGCATAAGGCTTTAGAAATACACAGCATTTGCTCAGAACGTATAACTTCTCCCCTCTCACCAAAACGTCCATTACTTTAATAGTTTAATATAAAACTTTTCCTCTCTAGACAGCATTTCTTTCTGTGTTGAATCAGCTGTAGAGGCTAAGGGCATACGAGTGTTCTGTGTCATCAATAATTTCTATGATCCCGAAAGACATGGCTACTTGCCAAGAACCCACACACAGCGTAGCTCTTTCATTCATCAAAATCACACTTATATCTTAACCCTCACTCCCTCAAGTGGATTTTACCTAAAAATACAGCACTTTGAGAAAAGTAATACAGTAGCTTCAGAAATTAAGCTCTTAAGGAAACTTTGCGTCACAGTAAATCTCAGATTTATAGTGCTTGGCAGTTGTTCTGCAACAGTAGTAGCCTTGGGGTTTCTGGCACTAGCTCAGTATTGACAGCAGCTGATGTGGTTTCTTTTCGCTCTTTGACTCCTCTTTAATAAAAAGCATGCCCTATGGCTCATTGGTTTTGCCCCCTCTGGGCTGATAGCAACTTCTTGAGGAATCAAGGAGCCAGACTTGGCATAAAGCCAAATAAATAGCACGGACTGTTGGCTCTTGACAGCATATTGCAATCAAAGCTCCATAAGGCACAGTAAAGCAGTCAGCTACTATATGAAACTCGACAGATACAATGAGCGTGCTTTTTCAGACACACTGATTACTGTCCAATTTATATTTTCGTACTGAATCTATCTTCTTTAGGAAAAATGTTAAAGAAAATTAAAGGTTTCATAACTAAACCTAATTTATGAAGTGTTTCACCAAAACACTGTATATACATAGACACTTTCCAGTCAGAACTAGTCTTTGAAGGATTTCTATTCAAGTCTTATTTAGCTACAAGTTTCCTAATGCAAATACTTTGCATACTACTGAGGTTTCTCATTATTTCCTCTCTAAAGTCATATGAGCAATATTTTTAATAGTCTACATTCTCTCATGTTGAAATATACTAAGCAGAAAGAGGTGAAGCTATTTCACTGAGCCCTGCCAATTCCTTCACCAGTCTTTGAACAATTCTGCAAGGACTACCACGCTTTAAGAGAAGCGTCAGACAGTCCCAGAGAATGCACCTATTCACAGAACAGACACAGAACAGAGAGCGGCAGTGCAGATTTCCACATGTGGTTTCATTAAGCACCTCAGCAATGATATTTAGGGACTCGCAGGATAAAAAACTTGGGTACCAGAAAACTTCACACTATCAAATTTGAACTTTTTTACATGGAAAGTCACAACACAAATGTTAACCGAGAACTTACACGATCCCAACATTTCTATACGATCCTAATATTTCTATTTACTACCACTGAATTTGAATCTGCTTTTTCTATGGTCATGAGCCTCTCTCCTAACTGCTCAAGATTTTCAACAGCACAATAAACTGAAAAACTGAAGAGAGACATTATAGGTCTTTCTAGGCTGTTGCATTACAAAAGTGTTCCCTGCTCCACCTCCCCACCCCCGCCCCAAACAAGCAAAGTGACAGGCCCCGATAATCTGTAATTTCAGTAATGTGCATAGGCAAAATGGCTAATCTTTTATTCCCTACAGAATCCAGCCACCTAAACCAGGAACATTTCAAAAGTCTTTTATGTAACTCTCAAAGCAATCCCTCCCCACACTGGACAGCTCATGGAGTGCATCTGGCATATCAACATGGTCCCCCATTTACATAGTGGAAAATTATCTTTGAAAACAGATGACACCATATGGAGAAGTGGATGAAAGTGGATTTTCTTCTCTTTTGGGGATTTATATTATTTTGTGATGCTTCATGGATGGATAGGGTCACTTATTTTAATCCATTTTTATCACAATGGCAGACAATTCTATATCCAAATGGAACAGACAAAATATTTTACTGTCCAGCCTTCTAGGGAAGGTGAATTTTGTACATTTAAACAAACAAACAAGCAAAAAGTGTTCAGAGTACTAAAAGTTACCTCATTATTAATGTCAAAAACTCCTTCCTGGATTTTCTCGTAGATTGACTTTGCAGTGTTAATAAATGCCTAAAATAGAGAAGAAAAAAAACCCACAATGAATGCGATATCCTTTGGTGTAAGATGCACTAATTGGAGTCCAATCTCATGTGCAGTTGTTTCAGCGAGACTTTTCTTCCTGACCTCAGCAGGGACAGGTATGACAACAGCATCCTATAACCTACCCTGACATAGCAATGGATCACACGCTGTTTACAAAAACAGTGGCGTTTTCATAACATCTGTATTCTATAATCTGTTGTCCAGTAATTACAGGGAAAAAGTGGTTTTTAAGATATATAAATTACTTTTAAATTATTTATTTCTGACCCTTATGGATAGATTGTGTGGCAGATGGTTTCCCCTACCCTTAATATCTTTGTAATAGGCCACTCTAGATTAGAGTGCTTAGCAACATAAAACCACAGGGTACTTACAATGATGATGTAAGGATGCTGTCTGCTGGATGAAACCTTATGCTATCATTTAATATTCACCTAATTTTAAGAACGTATTCTCTTTAATTAATCTTGCACACGATAGGCAATAGACATCTTAATAGTAGAAAGGAGAGGCCCCAGGTTTTATTATGATTTCTGGAAATCTATTGTTTTAATTTAAAGAAAAGACTGACATTCAGGCCTGAAAAAGTGAATGATATAAATGTTTTTGGTTAAAGTTTACAATCAATGATTCCATTTTTCATCTCTCATTTAACTTTATAGGTCAAGTAATGCCTAAAATAATGTATAATTAAAGAGGTGATTAACAACAGCTAATAATTACAATCAATATTAAACAAAGTTCTTTTTGTTTCAAAATACCAACACCATGCAATCATACAAGATATGCTATCTTCTGCACAAGCCTATTACAGCAAATACAGATCTAATTCAAATATAAAAAAAGTAAACAGGGTTCATGGAGAGGAACAAATCATACCTTTCCTCATTTCTACACTGGAAGCATTTGACTGCTGAACTTGCCACCAGAGCTTTGTTTCCTAATTAACAGGACTGATATGTTTTCACCTTTAAAGGCCTTACAGCTCCCCAGAGTAATCAATCTACTGCAGCTCAATTACTGCACCAAGCACACACCGCAGCCAGTGAAGGAGACTTGAACGACTGCGGCAGGAGTGGAAAGATATGAATATGCATAAACTCTAAGTGGGTGATCGAATCATCACAGAGGGTCATGAAAATTTGCAGCAAAATAATGAGAAGAATTAATCATTGCAGATTCACAAGGCACTTAGGAAGTGAGTTCGTTTTTCAAACACGCGTTAAGAGTTGAGGAGAAAAATTGGCTTTTGGCCAACTACAAATTGATTCAAATTCCTCAGAAATTCAAGTTTTCAAAGTAAGAAAAAAAATTTAAGCTTATCTTGGTTTCTGATAACACACTAATTATTGTAATGGCCTCATACATGGGCCTACTGAAAGGTATAAGTCAAAACCTTTGGAAATTCACACAGCTGGAATCTGTGAGGATACTTGTTTCAGTGGGACATTAAACAGAACTTGAAGTTTTAAAAATGTGTTATGATAACTTCATGTAAACAAGCACTTAACAATTGGCACTTCTAACAATTCTAGAAGATGTTGGCTAAGTACACCCAGACTCTTAGAATTAGTTTCATGAGAATTACATTAGATCTACAAAAATTACTTTAGACCAACAAAACTAGAATTTTAACAAATTACAAACTCCAAACTAACACAACTGAGTATCAAATATCTTCTAGACACTACACTCAAGAACAGATCACCGCAGGAATGTATGTATCCTCAAAAAAAAAAAATGCACTGGAAAATATAGCGTGATTTAACACCACTCAATCCCGCCGCTTCAACATAGTTATTACATACGTACTGTAGAAAGCAAAAGAGGATACTGAGTTCAGTACAATTCATTTTAAACACATTGACTAAGAAACTGTTGATCTGAAAAATTCAAATATTCTATTAATCTCAGCTCTATCATTTCAGTTGTATTGAAAAAGACATAATATGACTACCACATTCCCATCAGTGATTCTGGTGTGCCACATATTAGTGTTAAAACAACACGTACTGTTATTCTGTGTGGCAGAACGGCAGGCTGCACTGGGTCACATGTAAGTAATTCCTATTTGAAAACAATGGTTTGACAAGAATATAGCACATAATAAATCTACCTCATGTTTTCTTGAGTTGGTATGGATTCTGAAAAATTACTACTAATCAGCCATGAAAAGAGACTTGCATCCCTTGAGACTTCCATTTGTTTCTTGCATCCATGTTCGCTTATGCTTTGAAGCGTAAGCGGACTCAAAATAACCACCTGAGAACTTCACTGAAAACAGCAGTCTACTCCCTTTAAGAATATCATATTAGATTTTGGCATTGCATGCTAGTGCCCCAATTAGCAAGGACAAGAAGGTGAACTCGGTATAATTGACGACTTCTAAAAATCTTGTTTTATACTGCATGTTCTAACTCTTATCTGGAACATGCAGCATACTATAAACTCTCAATTATTTATGGGCAGTTTATCCTATTTGCAGATTAACTGAGCCATGGATGCAGACAGACAAGAGCAGTTTCCCCACAAATCCAGTTTGGATTTATTAGACCATGTGCAGGAGCCTGCAAGAACACAGCTGTAGCCCTTCACACGCCAACTTGGATCCAGGTGCAGTTTAGCCACTTCCACACAACACAAGACCTCAACCAGTAAGCCCACATGGACTCTGCTGGCTGCCAACCAAACCTGCTGCGGTTGCACTGTACATTCCCGTAACGCTGCTGTTACTGAAGCACCATACGAAGATACTCGAGCACTTCCACCCCAAATCAGCTCAGGTCCAGGTTTTATTTTCATCACCCCAGGAGAGGCAGTAACAGATTCAATCTGGATTTACACTCAGTCACCTGAAAGATGGCAAGGCCCTAGTACACAGTACCTCCATTACTCATAAAAGGGAGAGACTTTTGCAAAAACAGTATGTTAGACTTCCAAATATAAAAATTCTAGACTAGATTCCAGGAAAATTAAAGAAGACAATGTAACTTCAGGAAAAGGTCTACGTTTAATGTTTAACTTTTGGTTTCAATCTTTCTAAATCACAAATTACTAAATGCTTTTATGCATGAGACTACAGAATGTATCAGTACCACAGCATTAAAACAAAGGTTGTATACAAGTTATTCAGTGATTTGTTTTGATATAACATGTTTTTCAATTGTGTTCCCATTATAAGTAGTTTCTCAAATAATACCCAGACGAGGAAAATTACATTACTGTACAAGTGGAAAAGCGAGTCTTGTAAGATGTGATCACCCTTTTGTGTCACAGCTGCACCTACTGCAAAGCTAATGAAGGAGGTTTGAGTCACAATATACCAGCAGAGTATCGCTTTAGATGATTCGTGTAAGGAGTTTCCTAGACCATATTGCTACATGGGCATGAAGTCAAGTCTCCCAATGCTCACCTCAAATCAAAAAAACAAACCACTACCGAACACCCCCCCCCCCCACAAACCCCCAAAAAAAAAACCCAAA